TGCAAGAGATCCAGTACTGGGGGTTGGATGAACTCAGCATCGGTTCCTGCTGTCGAGACCGGTGAGTTCTTGGAAAAGGAGAAGTGCGGGAGTGTGGGCTGGATGAGCTCAGTCATGACTTCTTTTGCGGGGACAGTCAGGTGAGAGATCCAGGCGGCCGGAAAAGAAAGAGGTGTAATGCCCAACTCTAGATGAATTCATTACTGAATCCTACTTGAGAACTGAATGGGCATAGGAAATGGGAGGAGGTGATCCTGACAGGAGCAGGGTCCGCATCCACGTATACCACCTTCAGACTGGTACTGGAAGCTCAAAATAGAAAGGGATGTCGCCAGAGATGAGAAGGGTTGTGAAAGCAGGGGTGTCGTTGCACTGTCTTTGGGCCTAATACTTTGGGCAGTATTAGGCAGAGTGGATTGTATGTGAAGTCAGGCCTGGAGCCACTAGGGTTTGGAGCCTCCCTGCCCCATGCTTGCCCTTCTGGAGGATCTTCAGGTCCCAGCTGGAGAGACAGAAGCAGGGGGTGGTCACCTGCCAGGCTGCGTGCATGTGGGTGGCATGGCTCCAGGAGGAGCCAACAGCCCTGATGGGAAGCATCACACATGGATGTAGCAGCTTACAGGGAGGGGGCAGCAGCAGCAGGAACATGGCTCACTGGAGACAAATTGTAACAGGCAGCTCAGACACGAGGTGGGTTTTGACTGAACCATCGCCAGGATGTTTCTGCTAATTCTATTTGCAGTTAATATTTTTTTCTTCCCTCCGCCTTCTTTTTAGTATTACTGGTTTATTTGTTAGTACTGAGGAAATGAATTCTCTGAAGAGTATAAATGCTCTTTATCTAAAGCACCTGTGTCAAAATTATTAGAAAGAGAAACAAACAAGCCCACAAAACGATGCCAGACAGATCCTACCCAGCATGGTCCAGTTAGACAGCTGGGAGAGTTAGATCCTAGTTCTGATCCCTTTCTTCCATCTCCTGTGGGTGCAACTGAAAGCTCCTGCTTCTTTGGTGGTACGATTTGCTACACACGTTTTCAGCATATGCAGGGGTAAATGTGCATCAGATGAAGGCAAAATTGCCTCACCCCTTGGTGTAAAGCTTGACATCTGCAGCAGTCAAGAAACATATGAAAAAAAGAATTTTTTCATTGTACTCTAAGAATGTCCTTGTTTCATGAAACTGTTCTGTAAGTATATCTTTGTTCTAACAAAGCACTTTTAGCTATGCATTTACAATCTGAAGTACTAACTCAGGAAAGATGTTTACACACTTTATTGTGTGAGGATCTAAATATTTGAAGAAAGTAAGATGATATGTTTTGTCATCTTAGCATGTATTGATCAGAACTTCTTACATAAACTGCATAACTTTTATTATGCCTTCCCTTTTAGCATTACAGATATATACCAATGTAATAAAAATGCAATGTATTTCATAAAATTGAGGACAATTTAGAAACATAGGGTCTCATTGTGCCAGGATTCCTTACAAGAATACGTTAATCGTGCACCTAATCCTACTGCAGTCAACACTACCCATGTAAATCACACCCTTCCAGAATAAATGCAGATTATATCTTTGGTCTGCTCTAATTTTATGGAAATACCCTGCACGTACAAATGGTCACTGATGTGAAGTGGAGGAATAGGAACATCAAGTCAGTGGGAACATGCTATAGGGTCTCAAATAAATAAAATGCTCAACCACGTGCTTAACATCAGGATATTCTGAGTTCGTTTAAAGTGTACTTTCATATGTCTTCTTATGCCTCACATGGTAGAGGATAAGAACAACAAATGCATGCCAGTATTAAAAATCTCTCTGGGGGGTTCCTGGACAGGTACTTCAGGAGGAAGGAGCTGAGTGAAGCCTTAGACATCAAGAAAGATGCAGAAGAACTGGATGCCCAAGATGAAGAAGAGGACTTTTCCGGTAGCCTCTGTCCCAATGTCAGACAGAAGCTTTGGGAAGTTTTGGAAAAGCCTGGCTCTTCTGCAGTGGCCAGGACTTTTGGGACTCTATCCATGGCTTTTGTTGTTGTGTCCATTGCCAACATGGCTTTGATTTCAGTAGAGCTAAGCTGGCTGGCACCACCACTCCTGGATGCCCTAGAGTACCTGTGCATTGCGTGGTTCACTGTGGAGTTTGTTCTGAGGTTCCTATGTACACGAGATCGGTGTCGCTTCCTAAGGAGTGTCGCAAACATCATAGACCTCCTTGCTATTTTACCTTTCTACATCACCCTGCTAGTAGAGAGTTTGTGTGGTGGGGAGAGCTCGCAAGAACTGGAAAACGTGGGGCGCATTGTCCAAGTGCTGAGACTGCTCAGAGCTCTGCGGATGTTGAAGCTGGGAAGACATTCAACAGGTACTTTCAGCCATGGCAGTGACACTTCTAGTTGTTGCTATCTATAGCAGATGTCCCTGGTTCAAGTCCCCCATTTTGTGTGTATTTCTACCTAACCGATTTACACAATCTAATGTTAGCAATAACATCTTGTAGAAATTTTATTTTTGGATGTCGATAATTGAGTGGCAATGAAGAATGACTTCTCCGTTAACTTTTAGTTCTCTATAAAGCCAGTGTATGTTCTTTGCACAGAACACTTACAAAAACAGATCTTGAAACTGCACACTTCAAATCGTTCACCAGTGTTTTATTTACAAATGTATGTTCCAGTTGATTCAGTTAGAAAGGAAACATGGGATGAAACAATAAGTGACTGTTGTCCCACATTTTTTATATGATCAAAAGCCCAGTAAGGGCAGCTTATAATTACCTAGCACGGTGTGTTTCATTAAAAGAGAGTGCAAATGAGTATATCATGTTTTTGTCTACATCTTAGACCTCCAGAACAATCAGACTCTAATGGGCAGAGAATGTTCTGTGAAGTTTGTTTAAATTAAATCATACCAACCAAAGGATTGATGGCTTTTCTGGCTACCTTAAACACATTAGTATATATATTGTATATTGAAGACAACTGGGGACTGCTCATTGAATTGGACTTACCTGCAGCACAGACTAGAAGTGTTAATCAGGCTTCACCCATCAGTAAGCGTGAGGCCCTTTGTGAGCGCCCCTTACAAGTCGGCAGACATTTGGGTGAACAGCAGGCAGGAAATGGGTGGAAGGTGGAGTGCGTTTCTAAGAGAGAACACTGCTGTTTGCCCCCTTGGAGTAGTATAGGGTAGACATAAAAGGTGACATGTTCAAGTGAGAAATTGTCAGAGAAGTTGGAAAGGGTTAGTTTCCCCTCCCCTTTCTATTACTACTTCATGTTGTACGCATACCTGGATACATGACACAATAACAGCCATAATCCCCCAACTGTGATGTTATGCAGTGCTTGGCATTTTCAAAATGACTTAGTAATGTTCCCATTTAAATTGGTGCTGAATGTGGCACTGCATTTGACAGGAGAAAAGTTCAGCTTTGAAAAATCAGAGCCATAAGAGTAAATCATGGTCTCTGTCCTGTCTGGTAATAGCCTATTCTGAAGGTGGTGGTAGTCACTCTTACATGGCATTCAGTGCAGTGCTTCCAGGGTTCCCTGGCATGAAGGGAATGGGTTGATGCTTCTCCATTTCATGGAGGATGCTCTCCACCCTCTTTATGAACTGGCCCTGCTCCAGTGGGTTGTGCAGTATGAGACAGCAGCACATGTCTCTCTATTTTTGTTCCGCTGAAGTAAGGTGAACCCACCTACCAATGGCAGGGAGTAGGCTTAAGGCATATGATAGTGGTTTGGGAAGTATCTTATCGTACTCCCCTACTGCAAATTTTGTCTATTTTGGTGCATAACTGCTCCTTAGAAAGCAGTTGAAAGGAGGCTAACATGATCCAGTCTGTCAATGAGTTTGTTTTGCTTCATTATAATTTTATTACAGCAGACACTGAAAACAGTTGCTTTGCAAGAAGCCCATTCTCCACTTTTTGCAACAGCTTTTAACAGTAATTTCTTAACAGTCATTGACAGCTGTTAACATCAGGTGTGCTGACTTTCAAATATAGTCCAGCTTTTTTATCTGTTTATTTTTAAAGTTAAATTCATTAGAATATTACCACATCAGCTTGTATCATAATATTGAGTGCCATAAAGAGTTTAGTAATTTAATTGCTGTATTAGATAAAAGAAATTATTTAATTCTATCAAAATCCATTTTCCTAATCTGAGAGTGAACTTCTGTCTTTACACTAGAACTAAAAACACTGGTTTTAACATACAGAATTAGAAGGAACTAAAGTATCTATTTAAGCAATTCAGAAGAGCTTTACTATCACTGTCCTTGCTTCTCTAATAGTTCAGGGTTGCTGGTCACTTAGGCTTAGAACACTAAATCAAATCTGACAGTTTCTGTATCATTTAAATGTAGAAAGTCACAGTCCAAATCTTCTCTCAGAGCGGATGCTGCCACTAAGGAAAAATATCCTAATGAATAAAAATAGAAAAATACTTTAACAGATCTGAAGCCTGATTTCTGACCATTAGAGGTATGTAGCTGAAGACAGTTTTGATAATACGGTTCTAAACACATCATTGACTATAGTTACTAATATAAGATGGACCTCCCTAATTACCCTACACAGAGAGCATCCTCCTTAAACACACATAGGCAGTCCTGATAAATCTCAGGGTTTTGAGGTGGGATTCACACGTCCACTGCTGTCTTGCCTTATCTCTCGCAACTTAAAACTGCCTCCCAGTGAGGCTTCTCTCTGGCTCCTGCACTCTTAGACCAGATAAAGCTTTATGCATTGGTCACCAGTTTTGTGTGGCAAAAGGAGCATGAGAGCAGAAGAAAAGCTGCAGCACTGAGCAGCTGTAAGAAACTGTGTGGCTGCAGCCAGCAATCTATCACCAACACCTCACGTGCTGGCCACTTAAAAACAGAGACGCGTGGCCAGGCACAAGCAGGACATTGTCCCTATAATACTGTGCAAAGCTGGGATCCGAACAGGCGCCTGGTTCTGCCATTAGATAAAAATGGATTAGGAAAAATAATCAATTCTATTCTTTTTTCCTTTATTTTTAATGAAATGGCAGATTAACCCTTTTCCTGAGGAAGAGACAAAGAAATAGGAGATTAATTTCTACCTCTTTGAAAGCTGATCTCAGCTAATAGGAGGGTATAGAGATACTTGGGCTACATTGAAGTGAATGTTATTTGTCCAAAGTGCTGTAGTTTGTCAAGGAGAGACCGAAAATTAGCAGTATCCCTATCTAGAAACCGTGTAGCTAGAGAGTGAGAAGACTCTTTTGAGATATTGAACTAGTGGATTTGAATGGCTGCAGGAATAGGTGAACCTGCTTTTTCAGAATTCTCTGATGCTCATCTGTTGCCTTCCTCTGTGGCCACGTTTGTGTGAAGCCTTGCTGGTCCCTCTCTGGGATGGGCTTGTAGAGCACGTCCTTGAAGAGCGAGTACCTGCCTTGTAATGGCAATGGAGCGCACTTTTGAGAGAAGACTAGAGTGTTTATCAGGATGAGGTGCCTCTGAATGCATAAAAAAAGCAAAACTTCAGCACTTTCAGAATTTTAATGGCAAAAGTCGAGGAAGCCTGTGGACTGCTTCTTGCCTTCAGGGCCAGGTTGCCTCTGAGCTGGACTGAAGTGCTGTGTCTAAACTGAAGCTCCTGAAAACCAGTCTTGTATTTTCAAGTCCCTTTGGGCAATAGGGAGATTTTTTTAAACTTCAAGATCCAGGAATTGTGTCTTGCTTTGACTTTAGCAAATTTAAGAGCTCTTTAGTACTTTTTTTTCTGATAACCAAAATAGTTCTTAAGTACCTGTTTTCTTTCTGATAACTGAGACAGCTTGAGCTCCGTTTTTCTGGACACTGAATTGTTTTTATTATACTTTTCTGCACCTTTTCCAGTTCTTTCCATATCTTTCTTTGAGGAGGATAATAGAACTAAGAAGAATAAAGATAAATTCAGACTCCTTAGCAGTCAGAATAATTAACTATTGGAAAAATATTTTACTGAAGGTTTCATTAGTGCAAAGAGGTAGCAGTCACTGCCCAGTTTCTCCTTATTCCTCCTTATGCCGTGTTCCTCCCTCTTCCTCTCCTGGTTTATCTTGTACTGTTTTTTCACTTACTCTCAGCATCCACCACAAGAAGCAAACCCTGGATTTTACAGTATTTTTGGCGCCCCTTGTTTATAGGTCACTGCAAAGGACTTATTCTTCTACCTTGTTCAATATTAAGTTTTACAGGGCAGTGGATGATATTAAATTCCTTGGAATATGAGGGTTGTTTGATCTGGATTCTTACAAGTGTCATATACACAGCCTTCACACTGCTTTAATCTTAGTCAGATAGTGTATTTTCATAATGTGGAGGCAGTTATATTAATAGAAAAAAAGATTACATTGATATATCTTATTCCTCTTGTGTTGCAAAATTAAATTATTTCATTATAATAAACATTGTAGCCAACAGGCTGTAGTTACAGTAATATACCTGGATGTGATTAAGGCCTTAACTGGAGCAGGCAGAAGAAAATACTGAAAAAGGAAACATTTTCTACAAACTCTAGTAGGTAATTCCACTCTGTTGTACATACACAAAACCTTTAAAACCCTTTAGAGCTGAAGGGGAAAAGAAATAGAGCCAAAAGGAAGAAGAAAATGTTAACATATTTATTCTGAGATTGTGGAAGTTAAGGCATATCGAATTGCTAACTACTCCAATGGGCATATGAAGTCTGCAAACAGAAGCAGAGCTCCACTAAGCTATTTTGCAAACACTGGTTGAGGAATAAGGGTACCACATGAAGGGTAATTTGTAAGCATTGTGTTTTTTTCCTCCCTACCTAAAGAAAACATAGCACATTTTTAAGTAATCAGATTAATAAAAAATCCAAAATCACTTGCAATTCCAAAGATAATCCCGGTCTGCCATGTATCTCAGTGGAGCTGGTGCCCTTTTATTTCCCTTCTTTATGTGTGCAGCATTTATCCATTGCACTGTTATGGATTTACTTCCCTGCTTTGTTTGTCAGCAGTTTAGCTTGAGGCAGCAGCTCTAAAAGGAGCACGGCGGGTTGTGGAGAATGGTCAGCTGCGCATGAACTCCCTGCCCAGCTCACGGGCGATGGGACTGATGCAGGACGTCAGAGAATTTACAGTGCAATGATGTTTGAACTGGGAGGTGCTGTCACCTCAAGTTTTGGCACAAGTGCAGCTGCTGCTGAAACATGGTGCCTGTTTTGATATCTACAGTTAAAGAAAGATGTTTAGAGGTTGGTGGGAAGGTTCAAAGAGAGTCTATGAGAACTGTAAAAGGATCAAAAACAGTCCTTAGCACACAGCAAGGAACTGGATGACTGAATTGGCTCTAAGCACACACCTGAGAACAGAAATTTGACGACAGAGGGCTACTCAGTCTGACAAAAAATGACAATAATTGGAATATAGGAGCTTGTCACATTCAGATGGGAAGTAGGGAGCAGATGATTTCAGTATATTTTTAAATGGACACCTTAACTGAAAATTGTGGTAGATCCTCCATTGCGGTCAATTTTTAAATCAAGTTTGGGTAGTTTTTCTAAATCCTATGCTGTAGTTCAAACAGTAATTAATGAGGAGAATTCCCATGCTCTATCTTATGGATATTATTCAAATGATGTCAGTGGTTCAATCTAACGTTTTAATCTGTTTCTTTTTAAATCACATTTTCCCAGTAGTGGGAAAGATCAGCACCCCTTTGTCTTTTGGCATGTTTACTAGTAGCCAAAGCAAAAGCATAAGGCAGTCAGCTTTCAAATAAGAGATGTTTTGCAAAGTTATAAAGACAGCTACATGTAGCAACCTATTGACAGCATTTCTTGTCTTTCAGGCTTGCGGTCTCTTGGAATGACTATTGCACAGTGCTACGAGGAGGTTGGCCTTTTGCTGCTTTTTCTTTCTGTAGGAATCTCCATATTTTCCACTGTGGAGTACTTTGTTGAGCAAGGTGTGCCAGGCACAACTTTCACAAGTGTACCTGGTGCTTGGTGGTGGGCAACAACTTCCATGACAACTGTCGGTTATGGTGACATTCGACCAGACACTACCATTGGTAAAGTAGTGGCCTTTATGTGTATACTATCAGGAATATTGGTTTTGGCTTTGCCAATAGCTATAATAAATGACCGTTTTTCTGCTTGTTACTTTACACTGAAAATAAAAGAAGCTGCTCTTCGGCAGCGTGATGCTTTGAAGAAACTCACAAAGAACTCATCCAGTGACTCAAATATCAATGTTAATTTGCGAGATGTATATGCACGCAGTGTCATGGATATGTTACGGTTAAAAAGCAGAGAGAGAACAAGTACAAGGAGCAGTGGAGGAGATGATTTTTGGTTTTGACTTTAGGTTATTTAGCGTTGTATGGCAAATAGACTACTTTGAAAATGTAGTATTAAGCATCTCTTTTTTAATTATTGTTATTATTTGACACACAGTGTATTTGCTTTTCAAGCTGGAGTTTTACTTACTTTGACAGACTGAGATAACTAGTATATGCAAAAGGCAGAATTCAAAATATGGAAGCTCTCAAGGGGCTCTGAAACCTGCAGGGTTGTCTTTGGATTTTGTGTTCTTGCTGATGTATAATAATAAAGTCTTAGCCAAAAATGTAATGGTGTTTTGAATTTTGAAGAATTTTAAGATTTGTATTTGCAGGGGGAAAATGAAAATCAAAGCGATTAAGAAAATCAGAAAAGAGAATCTATTGGAGTAAAATATTGAATATGTTTATGTTGACTTTCCTATTATGAGATTCATCTTGGCCCCCTTTCTTATCCCCATCTTCTGCATTTGCATGAAAGAGAGGGAGAATTTCCTCATTTCAAGAGAAGACACATAGTGAGTATCAGAAGATGGGTGAAAGTATTAAGCAGATGCAAGATCTTCGCAAAGTCTAAAAATAGTCATGATATAGGTGCCAAAATTCAGAGCATCCTCTCTGGTTACTCTAGAAGTTGCAGGGGCTAATACTACCTTTACAGCATAAGTCATCTACAGACTAAATTTAAACCCAAACCTTCTCCTTGTGGTTTGATTCTCGTAACTTATTTGTCTAGCTAAGCATGCACTCAATTTTAGAGCATGTTGAACTTAAAATCTCATCTTTAGAACCTGCAGCATCAGTAATGATGGAGGAGAAAAAATTGTTAAGTAACTTTGTGCTTAAGAAAAGTCATTGGTGACTATCAAAAGACGCAGAAATGGTGAAAGGTTACAGGCTACTGGTTTCTCTGTCTCCAGTGAAAATCAGTAGATAATCATTTTGAGTGGGCCAGATTTAAATTAATAAATTATTAAAGTTTATTAATAAATTAATAATCTTTAGCCAAGCGTTATTAGAAAAATCCTTCATCAAAAACTTTTGTTCCAAGGGAAAAAATGAGAAATTGTTGGACTAGACACTAAAACTATTGCAGTAATTAAAGCCCCAAATTAAATCAAACAAAGCTATTTTTGCTCGTTTCCCATCCCTCAGCTCTGCAGTTCCCTGTTATTATTCTTAGCAAGTAAAGTTTTACTTTAATCTGATTTCAGCATCCGAGACTAGGACATTGCCACATTATGTATAAAACTCAATAGCAAATTAAAAATAAATGACCTCAGTCATTTCATGTTTCTTATTGGCAATATAAGCATAAGTGTTATTTAATTTTGACGTACAATTCAGCATACTCACTAAAAAAGGAGATCTATTAACTCTAAATTCTATAATTTGATAAAGTATTTATTTGTTAGATGGTTTTAAGTTCCCCTTGAGAGTATATGAATGGCTGAAATAACCTGCTATTAGTAAACATTGAATAATACTTGTTTTGATATATTAGTATGTTTTCCTTCCATTCACTATAAACGATGTTGTAAACGTAATGCAGCAAGCAAAATGTTAAAAGGTTTCAGCCTGGATACAAACTGAGCAGACTTTCAGCATGAAACTTTTTCCGATTTGTCAACCATTATCAGTCGGCATTTGGATCTGGGAACAAAGCAGCGTGTACAGCAGGTGCCTGGGTCAGGTAGAAGCCAAAGGAAACCATTCGAGGCCAGAAGAGCTTGTCTTGCTCTCCCCAAAACTGTCGAGGTGTGAAAATTCATAGATCAGATGTGTGGTCTGTATTGCGCAGAGATCAAACTATGTTATCACAGTGTTTCCTTTTGTCCAAATGCTCTATGAACCCATGACAAAGCTCCCACTGATGTCCAGGCGACAAAACTAATTCTACAGTGAAAGGTTCAGTGCAGCCCACTCTAGGTTATTATTTCATAGTTTCTTGGAGCAGGATGTCTCTCAGGCTGCACAAATCGTACAGGCTGTTTCTTATTCAAAAGTCATTCTAATTATAGAGAATTAGGAAGAAGCTTTTATTGTGGGAAGGCTATTTTGTAATGTCTTTTGTGCTTCTTTGTACAGCATCTGATGTCTATTTGAAAAAGGAAATGCAGTTAGATAGATGACTGATTCTCTATAGGGAAAGGCTTCTTTTATCGCAGCCTGTGCTTTTTATGAAGGTTGCAAAGGAAAGAGAGAAATGTTCTGGGATGTATCAGTTGATTCACTCCTTTCACGAGTTCTGGAGATAAAGTTTCCTAGAAATGCCCGTGGGGAAAGGTGGCTGAGAATTTATTCAGTAGTTGCTTAGGCTTCTATTTTCAGACCTCTTATTTTTAAATTCAACATCTCCCCAAGAAGTGTTTGCCAATCATTTCTTTATGCAGGATAGACTCTCTTATTATGGGCTGAGACTAACAAAATTATTTTGCAAATAAAAGTCAATTCTGAATTCAGCTTTTACAGACAGAAGGACCAGAGTATTCATACTGAGCAACAAAAAGTACAGAACATTAAAATTGTAAAATGTGAGGCTACACCATGTACTTACCAGCATAGATTTGGAAAATAGCTCAGTTACCACTATGTCAACAAATTAAGGATATTACTGTGCTAACTTTAGAATATCACACTGAAGATGAGTAAGAAACTACCTCTTGTCTTTACATCTATTCTGCCATTACCATTTGACAGCAGAGATGATAGAAAGGATCATGTGTCGGAACATCAGTAACACTGGTCGAAAATTCAGTGTTTTGGCTTAAACCACTAAGTAAAACTGTTATCAAAGGATAGGTAACTGCTAAACTTGTAAGCAAACCTGCACTAATCTTGATTTACTAGTACAGGAAACAATGGTAATCAAAACGTAGTATCATAGACTACAGTGTAAATTAATAATCTGAAAAATCTTGTTTGCCAGTGCTCTGGGATGGCACTCAGGACAGTGTGGTCAACACCACCAGAACTTTGTAAGCAGAGCTAAAAATCTTTCTTTGTTGTTCTCCATACTAAGAAGGTCACCAGCGTCCTGGGCTGCAACCGAGGGATGTGATCCTTCCCCTCTACTCAGCACTGGTGCTATGTCCAGTGCTGGGCTCCCCGCTACAAGAGAGACATGGCACTACTGGAGTGAGTCCAGTGAAGGGCTACTAAAATGATGAAGGGACCGGAGCATCTCTCGGATGAAGAGAGGCTGAGAGAGCTGGAAATGTTCAGCCTGGGGAAGAGAAGGCTTAGGGGAGATCTGATCAATGTGTGTAAATACCTGATGTGGGGGGAATAAAGGAGACAGAGCCAGACTCTTCTTAGTGGTGCCAGTGGATAAGAGATAGTGGACACAAACTGAAATACAGGAAATTGCATTCAAACTTAAGAAATACTTTTTTTTTTTTTTTTGGCAATGTAAGGGTGATTGAGGGTGATATCTCCTTCCCTGGAGATATTCAAAACCCATCTGGATGTGATCCTGGGAAATATGCTCTAGGTGACCCTGCTTGAGCAGGGAGGTTGAACTAGATGAGCTCCAGAGGTCCCTTCCAACCTAAACCATTCTGTGATTCTGTGAGCACTGGAGGAGGTTATTCAGAGAGGCTGTGGACTCTCCAGTTTTAGAGATATTCAAAACCTGAGTGGACACAGTCTTGGGCCACCTACTGTAGCTGACTTTTCCTTGAGCTGGGGGTTGGACCAGACAATCTTCAGAGTCACCATCCAACCTCAGCTGTTCTGTGATTCTGTGATCTTTACCCTAAAACTGACAACCTGAAAGAGGAAATTAACCGTGACACAGTTTGCTTAAAATGGATATCAAACAGATCAAACAGTAACTGGGGGATTACATATGACTTTCATGAACAAAAAAATTTGAAAAGCATAAAAGAACTTGAAAGTTTGTGACAGAGGGTGACAACAGAGTACAGAGCAGCAGTCAAACACTGCCAGAAGTTGTCCCACCAGCATCACGACCTCTGCCCAGGCCAGACTGGGCGTCCTCCTGTGGGACTCTGCAAGCAGCCTGTGCCAGGCTGCTGGGGTGCCAGGAGAGGGTGCAGCACCTCAGGGGACACACTCCCCAGGGGTGAAGGTGTGAGCTTGAGTAGCAGGTTGTAGGGCGCAGCACGGGTACACGTAAAGCTGGACCACAGCTCCAAGAGGAGGAATGTGCAAGTCAGGCAAGCAATATGTCCGTGAGAGGTGAGGCATGCTTGTATCTGGGGGGATGATTCAGAACTTTTGAGGATTAGTTACAAAAAGGTGTTTACAGATTCGTGTTTACAAATATGTTGTCGGTGTCTCAAATTGCGGTTTACCTGTTGTATTCCTGATAATGACTCTGAATGCATAGTTCATTGATTCCTGCACAATTATATGTTGTTAGTAAATCAATAAACCACTACTGTCTTGATTTAATATAAACTGTACAAGTCAAGCAGTTTTTCCCTGCAGCAGGATTTTCACTGGCTAACTCTGAGTTTTTGAGTTAACCTTTGAGTTAAGCTTTTGAATTAAACAAGTTAACTGCAAAAATGAGCACATAGGAGAAAGTTATGAGGTCTTTTACAAGGCAATGCCATTTTTTTCTGTTTTATGACACAAAACCACTAAGTATTCTCATCTTGTTATTATTATCCTGATAATGAATAACTTACACTGTTCTCATTTTGTACGATATTATCCTGTGAAACCTCCGTTGAGGTATACTCACAACTCTACCACAGAATTTTCTGTTGAGATTCCCACCATCAAAAAAGCATCAGAGCAGCTGTTGCTGATGCCTCTGGTACTTAGCTTTCTAAGTACATAGGCTAACTATAGAAAGGGTAGAGCAGTGCAGGCCTTAGTCACACCTCTAGTAGCAGAAAGGGGTCCTTCAGACCTCTGAAGGTCTAGACTCAATAATCTCTCTAGGACTGAAAAGCATTTTGTCAGCTGTCAATTAAATCTTTCAATTTTTAAGAGTTTTAACCAGTTCTGTGATTACTACAGCTTTGTCTTTTCGTTAAACATCAGTACTAGAAAACGCAAACACCTCCAAAAAAAACCAGAGCTGACAGTGCACTCACTGCTCACAACAGTTTTGTAAGGAGCTTAAGCTCAGTGTAAATGGTGAGCTAGACCTGATGAGCAGTCCGTGATTAAAGCCACTCCATCAGAAAATGGGTTTTAATGAAAGACTAAGCTGAAGGATTCAGTTACTATTGACTTTTTTTTTTTGTTAGTGATATATGAAATAGAATCTTTTCTGCCGGAACTGTGACTGTGAGGCGCAGGACCGGACCGGCGCTTCTGCTGGAGGATGGCGCTGTCGGCAGGGAGGAGGCCCCAGCCCCTCCGGGGAAGGGAACGCCTCTCACAGCTGGGCTATGTGAACAGCAGTTGCTGCCTTTCTGAGATCCCCAGAAGTTGCCTGAGAGACAGATGTATAACTTCCCTAAGGGAGAGGAACCAAGAACAGCCTGAAGTTAATAAGGTTCTTAAAAAAAAAGCCTTTGTCTATAGTTATGTTTATCTGAACAATGTTATGTTCAAAGGCCTATTATAATATGTGAAAAACACTCCGTAACAGCCTTTCAAAGTGAAATTATCTTCCTTATCAAATAAGGCAGGACTACTACAGATGTAAGATTACCTCTATTTATATCTAATTGCGTACAGCTTTTAATAAAACTGGAAGTGTTTGTTTCTAAAGCATGAATTATGACTATGTGAGCTTGTCGGTTAGTATATATTTTTCATTTCCAATAGCTTGACTCAGAAAGACAAGTTTATTTCCAAACTTTGTACAGTAGATATAAATCCTGAGAAATGGATGGAGCATGCTCTCTCTCTCTACCTAACATATGAACCAGTTCCTAAGGAGAATTTGAAAGAGAATTCATAAGGGCCCATTACAACTGCTACTGGAAGCAGGGATAACTAACTGGCTATTCCT